TACCGACCTCCGTTCGGTTCGTCTCTCTCTCTCTCTCTCTCTCTCTCTCTCCCTCTCCCTCTCTGCCTTGGGTGCTTGTGTTGTCATTAATTGGTTGTGTTACATGTGGAGCAACACCCGGCGTTTGTTCTTCGGGATGCACCTGTCATTGTGTTGCGTTGAGTAGCGTCTCTCGTCGTCGTCGTCGTTGGTTTTTGTTGATGTTGGTTTTGTAGGTGTTGTCCTTTCCCCTTTGATTGGAGGATGTTTAGCAGCTTGTGTGAGAGGTTGTCGCTGTGGTCGTTGTCCTTTTCGCTCGCACATGTGTTGATCTTGGAATGCACAACGGTCAAAACAGACAGAGATAACACGCGGCTACATGATGGGGGAGGGGGTGTGGGGCAGACAAACAGCACACACACACACACACACACACACACACATTTCTTCAGTTGCACGACCTCACAAAGCCAGTTGAGTGGGATGTGTAATGGTGTTGGGCAATATGGGCGTCAGAAGGAGAGCGTGAAAAGGGGAAGGAAGGGCTTTGGTGGCAGAAAACAAGTGCACAAGTGCACGGGTCTGAAGGAAGCGGGGGAGGGGGGTGAACGCAGGCATGGACAAACTTTGCCCACAAAGACAGACATAGACAGATAGACAGACAGACACACACACACACACAGACAGACAGACAGACACACACACACACACATCAGACAAAACAAGTTGATTATTCTGGGGCAGGAGCCGCCGTATGGGCGTGCGCATGGTCTTCAAATCCAAACTCGAGCATGTGCGAATCGAACGTTGCCTGCAAGCACCCACAGTCGGGTGTGAAGCCCAGCACACGAAGGACACGTGAACAACAGGGAGAAAAGCCCCAACTCTCTCGCCCCCCTCCCCCCCCCCACACACACATGCAACACATACCAACCTGGTCAATGACGATGGTGGCGTTGCTGGTGGTGGCGCGGAGCGTGTGCACAACTTGCAGAAGCGAGCGAACGGGCATGCGTGCTGCTGCTGCAAAACGCACATGTGACAGATCGCAGTCAAGCGCGAGTGCGGTGGATCGAATGTCCGATGGTGTCAACGCTGGCACGCGCACCCTGGAGTGGAATGGAGTGATGGTTTGTGTGTGCGTGTGTGTGTGTATGTGTGCGCGTGGGTGTGTACGTGTGTGGGTGTGCGAGCAAGCAGAGGGAGAAAGCAGGTCAATGGAGCGGTGACAGTGTCGACATGCTGAGCTGCCATCGATTTCCACATTATTCAATCCATCCATCCAACATTCAATCAATCAAACCATCAATCAATCACATCCGTCAATCCATTGCCACATACGTGGTGTCAAAGGTCTGCTGGAACTGCAGTGCATTGGATGCGAATGAGGTTTCCCGTGGATCGTGGCGTGTCGTTGCCAGCACGATCATCGAACTGAGCACGTGTGCATGTGGTGCGAGGGGCAATGGGCGCAGGGTGAAGGTGGAAGAAGAGGGTTGCGGTTGTATGAAGGGACGGAGGATACAGGTAGAGAAGTGTACATGCACATACGTCGTCTGTTCCGGTGACTCAGACAGACAGGGACACAGACAGACAGAGGCGCGCGCGCACACACACACACACACACACACACACACACACACACACACACACACACACACACACACAAACGCACACGCAGACCTTGCTGGGCTGATGCTGGTGAGTGAGGTGAGCAGCGTGTGGACAACGGCGTGGGAGAAGCTGCCCTGCAAGTGATTCGTGGACACAATTTCGGCCAGTCGCTCAAGGTCATCGAGCACAACCACGGCGTGCTGGTGGCGACGGTGGCAGCATCGCGGGTGTTGGATGCAACGTCATGGAAATGAGGAGGCGTGTCAAGGCATCGAGTACACTCTGAATGAACGAGTGCACACAGACACACGCATAGACAGACAGACAGACCAGACAACAGACAGACAGACACACACACAGACACACACACACACACGCATACACATACAGAGACACACCACCACCACTGTCAACAGCACAGCAAATCTCGGTGCACACCTTGGCCTTCTCGGCGTCGCGAAATGCGGCCGCAATGCGCTGGCTCTTGTGCGCGTCTGTCAACTCAACCAAGTCGGATGCTCGAATCACCTGCAGGGCACGAGGACACGAGCGCAGGCGTTGATGTGGTCGTGTGTAGTTGTGTGTCGGTGTGATGTTGGCATCCCATGATAAGCTTCCAATGAAATTTCAAAAGCACAGGCAGAGGAACACTCGCTCTCATTCACACACTCATTCACACACTCATTCACACACACACACACACACACACGCACTCATTCACACACACACGCACGCACGCACTCATTCACACACACACACACACACACGCGCGCGCGCACTCATTCACACACACACACACTCAAAACACACCTTGAGGTAGTCTGGGGAGCTGGCGAGGGCGGCGTGGACTGCGAGCGTCGTCTTTCCGGTCCCCGGTGGCCCAAACAGCAAAATGCGTCGCGCTGTGGCGCCTGGCAAACGCGCTTGGGTGATGGCTGAAACGCACAATTCGTGGGCATTCTCGTGCTGCAAGGACAGCGGGAGAAACCCATGCGGGAAGTAAAACGTGTTTACATTATCGAAATGATCTGTGTATGCCGGTTTCAGCTCACGAAGCGCCGTCATGAAGTCCTCCATGTTGATCTGTCAGGTGAGTGTGAGAGAGGGGGCGGGGCGGGTTTGTGCAGGTGTGGGAGTGAGTAGATGAGTGTGTGTGTGTGTATGTGAGTGAGTGCGTGGATGAGTGAGTGCACGTGCGTGAAAGCGTGCGTGTGTGTGCTTGCGAATATGCATGCAAACATACGCATGCAAGCAATGGAAGATAGGAATTGGAAAGCACGCGATCATCAACGTGTCACCACCTTCATGTTTGCCATGTCCTCTGTTGAGAAGGACGATGCGTCCAGTGTTCTGTCCATGACACGCGACACGGCTAGCGAGGCCGCGTTCCTGTCGTGGTGTGATGGTGATGGGATGGATGGGATGGGATGGGATGGACGAGTGGATGGATGGATGTGAGAGATGTGTGTGTGTGCGTATGCGTGCGTATGCGTTCCAGAGCAGCCATTAATCAACGATACAGCACGAAAAACGGATTTATGCGCAACGACATGCAAACACACGATGACACCCTCACACACAATCGAATCTTTGCTCGCACGCATGCACGCAACTTGACCCTTCGAACCATGTCCACATCACGTGCTCACCTGACGATGCCTGCAAGCTCGGCGCCGCTGTAACGCGATGTGCGCCGCGCAATCTCTGGTGCATTGTTAGCGATGATGACGATGAGGGTAAGATGATGATGATGATATGGGATGAGATGATGTTGGCCGTAGTGGCAAAGGAGCAGGCGTTGGTGTGCTGCTTGTCGAGATTACATTACTCACACACCAAACGCCCACACGACCACACGACCACATCCACTCACACACACACACACACTCACACACTCACTCACTCCCCCCCCATACACACACTCACTTACCGTCCAAATCAACACCATCGTCCAGCAGCGAATTTTCTTTCATCTCCTCTGTGTGAATGCGAAGAATTGCGCTCCGCCCGTCAAAATCAGGCAACCCAATCTCAACCTGAACCTCAAACCTGTGGATGCGATGTGTGTATGCGCGTGCGTGTGTGTGTGTGTGTGTGTGTGTGTGTGTGTGTGTGTGTGCATGTGTGTGCGTGTGTGTGTGCGTGTGTGTGTGTGTGTGTGTGTGTGTGTGTGTGTGTGTGTGTGTGTGTGTGTGTGTGAGGGCAATGTCAGTGACGCAACACCTTTGGTGCACGTGAAACAACAACGGAGACCCTCAACCACCCAGCCGCCCAACCAGCCGACCAACCAAGCCAGGAAATCAAGCCACACCGCAGCACAATCACGCCACCATCAAGGGTGTTGTGGGTGTAGGCAACGATTGCACAATCGCACCTTCCCGGACGCAGGAGGGCGGGATCTATGAGTTCACGTCTGTTGGTCATTCCAAACACAATGACGTTGTTGATTTCGTTGAGGCCATCCATCTGCGTCAGGAGTGCGTTCACCACGCTGTCGTACGCCATGGACGCAGCCTGTCAACAGCAGGGCGTGGTGGTCGTAGTGGTAGTGGCGATGATGGCGGTGATGGTGAGGTTGAGAGGATGTGTTGGAGGGACAAGTGGTGCAGTGAGTGAATGACACAGGACTCATTCGTGCACCGCAGCACATGCGAGCAAACAATCGAGAATATGAACACAGCAGAGGAAAGAGACGGACAACAGATGTGAAGGCACACAGAAAGACAGATGAGAACACACACACATACAGATACACGCGCAGACGCACAGACACACATAGACACAGACAGGCAGATAGACGAACAGACTCACAACTACACACAGACACACACAGACACACACAGACACACACACACAGACACACACAGACAGACAGGCCGATATAAACACGAGCGCGTACAGATCCGTCGCCACGCCCTCGCTCTCGAAAGATTGCATCCAGCTCATCAAAGATGATAAAGTGAACGTCTATGAATCATACAAGCGCCAGTCACCGACGTGAGGACAGGACCGCAGCGTGAAAAGAGAACACTGATGACACAGCCGTATGGCGTCATACACACGTGTGTGCGTGTTTGTGTGTGTGTGTGTGTGTGTGTGTGTGTGTGTGTTTGTGTGTGCGTGTGTGCGTGTGTGTCCGAAAGCGTGTGTGCGAGGGCGTGCATGTGTGTGTGCATGCGTGTACAATGCATTGCATCATGCCACCTCACCGTCTTCTGACGTGGACTGCGCCTTGTCAAAGAACTGTCGCAGCTGCTTCTCACTCTCCCCAAGATATTTTTGCTGCAGGAACACGACAAGAAGGAAGATGTACGTGCGTGTGCGTGCGCGTGCGTGCGTGTGTTTGTGTGTGTGTGTGTGTGTGTGTGTGTGTGTGTGTGTGTGCGTGTGTGTGAGTGTGCGCGTGTTTGTGTATGTGTGCGTGTGAGTGCGTGTTTGCGTATGTGAATGAGAGTGTGTTTCAGACAGCATCTGAAGGCACATAAGCTACAGTCACAACTATACATCACCACACATACAACCATGAGATCTCGCGTGTGTATTCACATGTGGCGTTGTCTCTTCTCACAAAATTGTGGATGTTGCTCTGTGTATGAGAGTGTGCTGCACATAAGAACACATCTCACCTTGGCGTGAGACAGTTGGATGTGATACGAGAAAAAGACACACACACACAGACACACACACACAGATAGAGAGAGAGACACTCACAGACATTCGCAC